TCTTTCCAGAGGACAGAGTCCACTTCAGGAGGAGCTTGCAATAAACCCTTGGCCTAGGCAGAGTGGAGATGGCTGGTGTGGCCCCAGCTGACATTCTTGGAGTGGGAGACTGCGGTTTCTCTTACTTCATTCTGTTAAATTGGTCCTGATGATGGGCGGATACCAGAGATAGTAGTGGTTTACTCGCTGTCATGTAATTTAAAACCCTCACAAACTCTATCCTCAGGCGGTGGTGGACAGGGAGCCAGGGGTTGAGGAGGAAGTACGCCCCTCGTGCGCTGACCTCATCCAAACCCCAATCTGTGTCTTGGACACATGTGTTTCAAAATTGGCTTGAGACCTTCTTAGGAGAATATCTTGTTTTAACCTTCTTCAAGCTGGCTGTTTTCAGTAGACCAGATATCATGGCACTGAGTGTGTCTGGGGAAGTCCTTTCTGTGAGCCTGCAGAAGTTAAGTTCTGCTACACAAAGAATACCTGGAACTCTGTGAACCAATTATCTTTGGATTCCTTTTCTTCAAATGTAAGCTTTTCTTCTTTAAGCAAAAGTATTGGATAAATGTATCCGAACTGTGGGAGGTTGGAGTGTAATGCTGGGGGAAATAACAGAGACATTTTATCTTTGCGATACCAAAAAACTCATTTTGCCGTGAAGAGTTTGTTTATTGTCTGCTCATCGCCAGCACTGGATTATAACCACCAGATCTATTGGCCAATAGTCAATAGAAAGCAATGAGAATTGAATTAGAAATGCATATAGTCATGAGTTGATTCATGAGGCCCATTAATTCATAAATGTCACATGACAGCCCCTAGTAGTCCCCTTTTTAATAGTAAGCTTGAGCCTGTGCTTGAAGTTTAGGCATCTGTTTCCTCAGGGAGGTATTATTGTTCAGTGAATACTATTGGTCATGTACAGTCTTTTATTTTGAGTGATTTTAAGAATATAAGAATCACCCACATTTATACACATGAACCACAAAAACACATGATCTCAGGAAGCCATGAGAGTTCTATGCCATACAGAACAACCCATCTCATTACACTACAGTTCTACTTCTTGTTTGTTAGGCATATGCTCTACCCTAATGCTCACTCACCAGAATTCCTCATGGGATGGGAGCCATGTGTGCTGAAAAGCTCTGGATGAGTTTCCTGGGCTGGAGTAAGATCTGCTCTTGTCGGTTGCTTTCTAAGACAGTGAGTCCTACTCCCCACACAGTGGGTCCTTTGATTTGACCAGTGACTTTGGGGCTAGGTGGTGAGTGGCTGCGGGTTACAAAATGGTGAGGCATTTTAACAAAATTTCTGGTAGAAATTTGAGAAGGTAAGTTGGGTGCAAATTTGAACCTGCGGTAGGAGCTCCTGTTTGCAGTGCTGTAAAGATGAGCTAGGTACTATAGAAAAATCCAATGAGAATGATTATTTGGGGGATAACCTTTTTATTATAGAAATCCATAGTATACCTTTCCCATCTGAATCAGTTTTAAATATACAGTTCAGTAGTATATTCATGATGTTGTGTGACCAATCTACAGATCTACAGAACGCTTCCATCTTGCAAAACTGGAACTCCCTACTCATTGAACAATGCCCCATTCACTCCTGCCCCTCCCACCTAGGCAACTAAGAGAAAATCTTACAGCATTGTGGAGGGTTGTATTACATCATTCCTCCTGGCATGGATTAAGAAGTTGTGGTATGTACACATAGTGGAGTACTACTCAGTTTTCAAAAAAGATAAGCCTGTGCCACTTGCGGTAACATGGATAGAACTTGAAAGGATAATCTGAATGGAAATAAGTCAGAAGGAGAAAGACAAATAGTGGATGGAGTTACTGATATGTGGAATATCAAGTAACAAAATTAGGAGTCAGATAAAGACAAGTTGTAAAACTAACCCTTGATAGCTGACTATAGAAATGCCAGTACAGGGAGGCAGGGAGGCAGGAAGAAAGGGTGAGGGAGGGACAAGAACAGGGAAGAGAGAGGCAGAAAAGTCTGTAGTGTTGGAGTATGGGCGAGTCAGAGGGGGATATATTCTGGTGGCAGTACCTGATGGGGATACCCCAATGCTACCTCAGTTAAAAATAAATAATCAGGCCCTCCCTGATGGCGCAGTGGGTTAAAGCACTGCACTAAGAAGCTAAAGCCACTTCCTCATGAGTTCGATTCCCGCCTACCCTGGAGGAGATCCACATGGCGAGGCAGACCTCTCCTGACCCGCCTGCTGCTCCCCTCAGCAGTGTACTTCGCTGATCTGCCTGTTCTGCTCCCCAATCTGTCTCTGGTGAATCCTCTCACCCCTCGCATCTCTGGCCTTTACCCCAGTTCTATATGAATAAATAAATAAATCTTTAATAAATAAATAAATAATCAATAAATTGTTTAACATTTTGAGAAAGAAGAAAATCCTCAATTGTCCTGGAATGCTTTCATGCAGATTGGGAGATGCTGAGGTAATTCTACTGCATGGCATGTAGGGCGGAGTACAGAAAGAGCTTCAAGAGCCAAGGCCGACGTGCCCCTGGGGTCCTTTGACTTTCTGAAAACACTGAAAACTTAAACCTCTTTGGCTTGTTCATTTTTGATGGACACTACTTCTTAATTGTGCAAAATCTGAAAAACACTGAGTAGCACGCTCTTCCTGTGAAGGGCACGTGTGGATACCAGGTCCACGCTGAAATACTTTCTCCTTTAGCACCGTGATGGGGATAACCTGCACATATTCTACTCTACATTGCCCACAATTAAGAAGCACCTATTTAAAAAAAGGACAAGTGAAAAAATTCTTCCATATGTGAAAAGCATTTCAGGGTAGCAGGCCAAGGTGGGAAAAGAACCTCTCTCATCTTGGGAAAAAGATATATGCATTTCTCAGTTTTCCTCTTTAATTGTAGCAGCAACAGACATTTCTCCCTTTGAAGGCTGCTCTCGTCTCACCTTCTTCAGCACACCAGTCCTCTACACAGTCCTCGAAGTTTCTGGCTGTCACATAGGTCCTTCTGTTGGACTCGTGGTTCACCCACATGCCCAGCAGACTGTGGACTGAAAGGGACAGGAAGCTGAGTCTTAGGGCTTCCAGTAGGCAAATCCTTTAACAGGGCACAGATGCTCTAATTGCAGCTTGGCAAGTGTGTCCGGAGTAAATTGCTTTCATTCCCCTAACTGTTATACCTGGTAATTTGCCAGTGTAACAGGTGAAAATTGATGAGGGGGTGGTGATTTCTAGGACACGGTCTGCAGGAGCCAGGAGTTCTGAATTCCTCTGGCAGCATTTTAGTCTCGTGGGGTAAGCTGGATGGTCATTCTCCTGGACACTGCTTTTCAAATTGTTTCCATATAGAAAGGCATAGTGGTTTCAGCAGGCTGAGGATGCCGTGCATGTGTTCACGGTACAATAGGGAAAGAGTCTACAAAATACAATAATTATTAGATTGTCTATGAATTAGGACAAGTGGATATTCCACATGATGGTAAGTTTCATCCAAATCTCCTGAATTTTCTTTCCTTTAATTGATCGCTACTTAGAAATTTCATGAAAAATCAGAAAGGCCATTTGATCAATCAGACTTTATAGAATTTGCTAGAACTTTGTAAAATTGCTATTATATCCCAGAGGCAGTTGCTAAATATAACCCCCAAGGAAATCTATATCCTTGAAGAGCAGATAGTAAGAAAATTCACTCATTTTAATTTATTCATATAAAATTAGCAAGACTGTGTCCTAATCTGACACATTATGCATCTAAACTATTGTGAGAATTAGACTGAAAAGCCTGCTTATCGAGTCATAGATCTCAGGTATTATATAACATCTTTCTATAAATAATTCAAGGAATGATTAACATATTCTTTAAAAGACAACTTATGTTTCTAAAAGTAATGATTTTAATAATATGTTGCTAATTAGTCAAAATTAGATTTATAAACTCGGAAAGCTACTTCTTTAACAATGATTGCTAGACATGGATGGAGCTGGAAGGGCTCACGCTTAGTGAAATAAGCCAGAATGAAAAGGAAAATACCGGGTGGTTTCACTCATAGCAGGCATATAAAGGACCAGGGGAGAAAATAACAATAATAATGAACAACTATATGCCAGAGACATTTTACGGGGGTGGAGTGAGGAATGGGATCAAAAATGGGGAGGGGGGAAATGCACTGGACTGTGGTGATGGCACAGTGGTGATTTGGTGATGGGAAGTCCACGGGGGTTGCAGCTGAGATGGAAAAATTCACAAAATGATGTAAAAATAAACTATTATATTATTTTAAAAAAATGATTGCGAGAAGTGGGATTGCCAGCATGCTATGGTTAGAGAGACAGACTCCCATGCTGGCTTGCACGTCCCTCATGGATGGGAGAAAAGCAAATACTCAGCTGTGCCTTCTTTGGCCACCTGTGTTAGACACATTTTACTGGTGAGATTTGGTCTTTCATTTGTTTTGTTAATCCTTGCAAGTCTATCCCCAGCCTAGCATTATTTCTTCAGTTTGGATACCTTTCCAAGAAGGGGGCTATTCTTGTTGGGTGACCCCACTTTACAAGATGAGATTATGCCTGTGGATATAGAAAAGAAAGCAAGGGTGAGTGAAAGAGACAAGTGAAATGGTTCCCTTCTGGACGTATTCTAATACTGAAATACTGCCCTTCTCCAATGTTGAACTCAACATTTCTGAGGAGAAATGCAGAATCATTAGGAGACTTATCTTCACCCCAGTGCATGGCAGGTAAACTGCTCTGGTAAATGGCAGTGGGTCTCAGCTCTGGCTGGCCTGCGAATGTTATGAATGACACTGAAGGTGAATGTTTGCCGAGTCCTGTCCATCTCTATTTTTAGTCAAGTAGATCAGCCCAACTATGTGAAATGTTAATTGTAAAAAACAAACAAACAAACAAACAAAAACTCCCTCTAAAGAACAGCACCACAGCCAAATGGTGGGTCATTGATTCTGATGCCAGGAAATGGACTGACTTCTTCTTGTTGTTTGTGAAGCCTCTGCCACCTTGCCATGACTCCATGGAATCCATGCAGGTGTTCAAACAGCACTGCCAAATAGCAGAAGAATATCATGAGGTTAAAAAGGAAATTGCCCTGCTTGAAGAAAGGAAGTAAGTACTGTTGCTCTGGGCAACTTCACGCTGAGTCTTGGACTGGGTGGGGGTGAGGGTGGTAGGAGAGCCACAGGCTGAGCCTGTGGTGGGTGTGCCAGACGGCGAGGTGAGTGAGAAGCGACACGCAGGTTCCCAGGCTGCAGGTATGTCTTGTGTGATTATAGAAACTCTCCAAATGGAACTGCTGTGGATGAAATGCCTTACAGTATCGTGACAGTCAGGACAGGAGTGCTTCCTGCTCAATTTTTAATAAGCCTTTTTAGTTCATGAAATTAAAAAATGTCAACATACCAGCTAGAGCCACACCACACAATCCCTATGAATGTGCCAGAGGTCTCAGAGTACTTTGGCTGGGGTGAATTTTAACGAATGTCTAAAGGGCAGACTTCTGACATCAAGAGGACATGGGCAGAACTTTCGCATGATGTTAGATGTGTTAGTTTAAGTATGTCTTATAGCCCAAAAGCCTGAACAAGTGTGTGTCTGGCCAGCTTCTGTCACCATTTCGCGTCTGCTCTGGGGAAAGCAGTCTCATTTTCTCACTCACAACTCTGGCTTCAGGTTAACTTCCTGTTTCCTCACTTGATTCTGCTGGCAATCTACCCTGACCACCCCACTCCCAGACTTTCCGAGCATCAGACCCCTCCTTCGGCACTGACCAGCTTGCACTTACACGATCGTTAGGAAGCTGTTTCAATGACTCTCTCCATCTCCCAGAAGTGCCAAGCACCATGTGCACACCGGGGTCCCCAGGGGGTGCTCACACCACTTCCCTGAAGCTTGGATGTAGACCATGGACACAGTTTTGCTGAATGACGGCCACATCACCCACACCCTGCTGCTATTCTTTCTATTTCTCCCCTTCTTCTTATACATGCTGTCTATCATTTTAATTTTTAAGTGAAGGCAAGTGAGATATATTTTGTTTTAAGACATTGATAAATTCCCAAGGCTTCTGCGCGCCCCCAGAATGCCGATTGGACAGCAACGTGTGGAGTAGCAGCCTGGCAGCTAGGGGTTTGGGACTCCCAGTTTCCTGACTTCCGAGAGCACATGGCAAAGCTTTTCCTACTTCCTACCTTGGTTGTGCTACAAACAATAACTCATACTGGAACTTTAGATTATTGGGGATGGCGCATTTGCATCGGACTCCTAAAATAATTCCATAAAGGAGAGTTCCATAAAGAAACTGAAGAAACTGATGGGAAATGTGGCCGCTGGTGGAGAACTTGTATACTCAGGAGCATAGAAATGTTTTTCTACGCACATGCCTCTGTGTGTTCGTGTGCACAATATGTGTATGTCTGTGTGTACAGTTGTGTATGCTTGTGGCTGCATTACACATGTGTGTATGACTGGATGACTGGATCCATGTATTATGGATACGTCTGTGCTTGGATGTATGCATGCATGCATGACTGTATGTGTCTTGCATGTGTGTGATTGCATACGTACGGTGTGCCTCTGTGTGTGCATGTGTGTGTTATCTACTCCTGTGTTGTGTCAGGAAGAACATGTATACATACATGTAGCATGTATCTATAAGTTCTCTAAATTGAAGGTCCTGGGAGACTTTGATATTTAAATTAATCATATTTAATTATTTTGGAGGGGCAACACAAGTCTCACTACATGGTACATTCTCTAATTATATTCTTACGGAAGTTTTGACTGTCACATTTAGAAAATATGATGACAGGAGAATGACTCTTCTGTCTTTATTGAAACAATCCCTGCTCCTTCACAAAATTCATCTTATTTCCTCCCCACAAACCTACTTCAATTTTGGATTTTCCTTGAAATGGTGATATCTTTTTTTCTGTTTTCCCCTGCAGAACTGGGTAGATGTGAGACAAAGACCATATTCTTTTTTAATTTTTTTCCTTTCTTTTCCCCAAAATCTCTCAAATTTCCTTTTCTTCATTCCTGTTGTGCCATTTGGGATTTGGGAATTGTTACTTCAAATCTTAGTCAATGTGATATCACAACTGGATCCACACAGTCAGAAAAGGTCATCCAGGTCTCAGCTGGGATTCCCAAACCTGCCTCCGTGTGGCTTTAGTACCTCTAGAATGTTCTCCTTCAAGCTCCGTCTTCAGCTACGCTGACCTCTTCACTTTTCCGGCCTCTGTGCCTTTGCTCAGGCTAATCTCGCCCTTTTCCCTGCTCAAAGCCTGCGCCTGAGGAAAAGCTAGCTCTGCTCACTGCCCAGCTCCTCTGCAGAAATGAGCTCGTTTCCTGAGCTCGTTTCTCTGGAGTGATTCCTTAGGCTCATTGTATAGGCTGCGACCTCGGTGGTCACCCACCCAAGGGCACTGTCTCCTGGCTGCGCTTCCTCCCTTCAGACCCAGACACCTTTCAGCACCTCTGGAAACCAGTCTTGGGCCAGGGAGCTGCTCATAGGGGAGTGGGGTGGGGTGGGAGTGGGGTGATTGAAATAAGTGGTTATAGAAGGCAGTAATACCCTGCATGTGCAAGTTTTATTTGCAATCTGTAGTCTCTAAACAGCCAATATTAGCAGTAAAGAGTCAGTAAGTTCTTAAATTAGGAAGTATGCTGATATCTTCCTTTTATAAACGAATGAAGTTGTCCCTCCCAGGGTGCTTAGTGATTACTGTTTTTGCGAACATATTCCTGGAGCAGAAATTCAATTTTCCGGAGCAGTTTTTTTTTTTTTTTTAGATTTATTTATTTATTCATACAGAACTGGGGTACAGGCCAGAGATGTGGAAGGTGAGAGGATTCACCAGAGACAGAGCTGGGAGCAGAACAGGCAGATCAACGAAGTACACTGCTGAGGGGAGAGCAGGCGGGTCAGAAGAGGTCTGCCTCGCCTTGTGGTCACCTCCCGGACAGGCAGGGATAGAACTCATGCAGAGGTGGCTTTTAGCTTCTTAGTGCAGTGCTTTAACCCACTGTGCCACCAGGGAGGGCCTTTCCAGAGCAGTTTTTGATTTCAGGCAAGATAAATTGGACCAACTGGATTTGACCCAAATAATCAACTCTGTTTTTTGATGACTTGGATAAGAATTTCTTTCCCATCATTTGGTAAAGTGTGACTTACTGTTTTGCCTTAGGCAGAAGAAACTCCCTACACAGAGCAGCTCTCTCAGGTGTTTGAGAGGTTTTTCTTTACTAGAGTCCTGCAGGCATGAGGCAGCTGAATTTCTCTCTCCTCTCCAGAGGGGGTCTCCCTGGCTCAAGTTTGGGAGATTGCAGAAGAGCCAGGAGAAAATGGATCTAAGTTATTTTAAATAAGCTATTAAATGGCTATTGAATGGATGAAGATAGTCAAAATTTTACTAGGATTTTAAACACAGCATGAGGATAAATTTAAAGAATCACTTTTGGTTTACTCACAATGATGTAAATACAATCTTTTTCCAACTTTTATTGAAATTTTCCTGCTTTTACTTGGAAAAAAATTTACTTTATTGAAAACTTAAAAAAAATTACCAAGAATGGTGATAAAATTTAATTAGCTGCTATAATTTTGACTCTTTCTAGATCTTTGCCTGTGAATATTTACTGTTAAGCGATTGTTTCTTTAAGTCACATGAAATGTGTTTTTTTTTTTCAATAAAATGTATAATACATGCAACTTTATCCACATGTCAGTTTGCAGCGGAATGGAAGTTCATGCTTTGACAGCAAGTGTAGAGTATCTGGCTGAAGGACTCTGAGATCAGCTGTGAAGGTTGTTTGCTCCAGAAAGAGTCTCATTTCTTAATTGAGACAGTGCTGGTTACCAGTGTATCACCATATTGGATGTGACTTGGAGGCATAGGCTCGACAGACTCACCACCGAGACACCGAGACACTTTGGACAAGTGTTTCATCTTGTCCAAAGGAGAAATCCCTTATTTTCTCTCTATGAAATATTGTGCCAGGGGCTGTGATGTTTACAAGGTTGACTGGCACAATTAGAGAAAGAGGTAAACTCTTAGAAAAGTGAGACTGAAAATATATAATTACTTGACCACTTAAGTCAGTGGCCTCAGGATCCCCCTGGGTTGGGCAATCATCACCATCATGGCAGCACACTCTTGTCACCCCAGAGAGACACAGAATACCTTGGGTAGTGACTCCCCAATCCTTCCTCCCCCACCAGC